TACCTGAAGTTGCAGCACAAGCAAGGTTTGTCTTTGTAGGTATTGGTTTATTGATTGCTTCTTCACACTTCCTCTTTACAAACACCCAGCACTGACATTTAGCTTCACGAGTGACAGGGCACCTCCACTGTCAATTATAGGAGATGTATTAGGTACAGTGTACCCTTTACAACCAAGACAAAACCAGAGAGAGAAAAACAGGGAAAGAAAAAACAAAGAAAAGAAAGAAAGAAAGAAAGAAAGAAAGAAAGAAAGAAAGAAAAAGCATCAGAGCACTGGGAGTGGTTTGTAAGAATTATACTGTATGCAATAAACTGGTATAATATATTTAAAGAGCTGTCTGAAATCAACTGCCTTACTTGTACTACATGTAATAGTAACCCTCACACTCTTCCATTTCATCTCCCATAATTCTCCTCTCTTCTTCTTTCTTCTGCTTGACTGATTTTGCAGGGTACAGAACCTGACGTAGCACTGGCAGTTTCCAGGTAGCCATTGATTAGCGCCTACCTGGGACCTGGCAGGAGGTGTCCGTGGCTCTGCCTGTATTGATTTAATTAGGCCCGTGGAGCTGCTAGTGTGCTACGCTAATAGCTGCAGCTAGCGCAGTTCGCCAACAGTGGCTGATTAGCCTTGCCAGCTGTCCACTGGGTGCTAGGCATGCCAAGGCCAGCTGCCACTTTTGCTAGTCACCAAGCATAAGTCTTACTGAGAAAAGAACTGAGATGATGCAGGGCATTGGAGTTTCTGCTCATTTAAGAGGCCTAGGCCAATATAATTTGAGGCGATAGAGTATTTAAAAAGGGATAGGTTAGAACAAGGTACTCACAGGACCAGCCTTAGGATGGATTCTGCCCTGAGCTACACTTTCAAAAATGCCACAAATGGTTCTGTGAGTGATGCCGAAAGAGGTTTTTCTGTGGCATTGTGCAAAGCACCTTTTGTGGCCCTTCTTTGTAATGATTTTAAGAGTGCACAGTCATATGAAAAAGTTTGGGCACCTCTGGTCAAATGACGTTTTGCTGATTTTCTAAGTGAAAATAAGTTAATACATCCTCTACAGAAAACATACACTAAACTAATTTCATAAACTAATACTTATATTTGCCGAATTTACTATATTGGAAAACAATAAAACATAAAATGTGGCCTGTGCAAAAGTTGTCACATTTTATATGTTATATATATTTTTTTTCCAATATGTTAAACTCAGCAAATACATAGAAGTTGTGCAGCAAAATTTGAAGAAAAACTGCCATACTTAAGTTTATTCCCTGTAGAGGATGTGTTAACTTATTTTCACTTAATTAACAACCACTTAGGAACCTCTATTTTAAAAGAGTAAACTGAAGGGAGGCAAAAAAAGTGAGGGAACAAAACACCCAAATGAAGCTTCCATTTAAGACAATGCCTACTATTCTATGATCTTGAAAATCACATGACTTAGGTCTTTACATAAAAACAACACAGTCTTAAGTCAAATCAAAAAGCCAAACCAAAGAGCGAAAATCAAAATGGTATTTGGTTCTAAATGACTTTCAAGTGTGCTGGCATGCTCGTGTGGCTGTGAGGGGCAAACCCCAATGACTTAACACCCGCAGACAAACACAAACTTTCACAAAGAAAACATTATGAAGTTAGCTAATGAGCTTTTAGGCCTTGACCTTTGAACTTGTGGATGTGGGCATTCGTGGGGGGCTGGTGTTGTGATGAGTGTGATCTTGATTAGGCTGCCTCTTGCACAGTGAGTAAACATCTCTATACAATAATTTTTATATACGAAGGGTAGGTCAATCCCACATTTTTCTTGTATTTTATTCCCCTTGAGGTCCATTTTTGTGATTTTACTTACAACCCTGATTACTTACTTACTTACTAACCCTGTTTCCAAAAAGTTGGGATGCTGTGCAAAATGTGAATAAAAACAGTATGTAATGATCATCAATCATGTAAACCCTATATTTAATTAAAAATAGTATATCAAACATATCAAATGTTTAAACTGAGAACATTTTTTTTTTAAATATATGCCTATTTTAAATCTGATGCCAGCAACACATTACAAAAAAGTTGGGACAGGGGTATGTTTACTACTGTAAATCACCTCTTCTTTTAACAACACACGTTTGGGAACTGAGGAGGCAAACTGCAGTAGTTTTAAAAGTGAAATGTTTTCCTGTTCCTGCTTGATACAGGATTTCAACTGCTCAACAGTTCGTGGTGTACTTTGTCGTATTTTTTTAATTTCATAATGTGCCAAATGTTTTTAAAGTGTGACAGGTCTGGACTGCAGGCAGGCAAGTTTAGCACTCAGACTCTTTTATTACAGAGCAATGCTGTTGTAACACATGCAGAATGTGGTTTGGAAATGTCTTACTGAAACAAGCAAGGCATTCCCTGAAAAAGACGTTGTGTGGACAGCAACGCATGCTGCTCCAAAACCTGTATACATTCTTTGGCATTGTGCAAGTCACTCATGCCATGTGTACTAATGCACCTCTATACCATCATGAATGCTGCCTTCGTGTGCTGATAACAAGCCGGGTGGTCTTTAGCCCAGAGCATGCGGCATCCATGATTTCCAAAAAAAAAACTTCAACAAAACTTTGGTTTCTTCTTTGCATAATAAAGTTTATCTTGCATTTGTGGATGCAGCTACAAACTGTGTTCACAACTTTTTTGTGGTTTTCGAAAGTGAGCCCATGTAGCGATTTCTACTGCAGAATCATTTCTGTTTTTAATGTAGTGTTGTCTGAGGGCCCAAAGATCACAGCTAGCCAATACTGGTTTTTGGCCTTGTCCCTTGCATACAGAGATTTTTCTGGATTCTCTGAATCTTTTAATGATATTATGTACCGCAGATGATGAAATCCCTAAGTTCTTTGCTATTTTATGTTGAGAAACAGTATTCTTGACTTGTTTCACTACTTGCTCACACAGTCTTTCACAGAGTGGTGAACCCCTCCCCATCTCTACTTCTGAAAGACTCAGCCTCTCGTGGATGCTCTTTTTATACCCTATCATGTCACTGATCTGCTTCCAGCTTACCACCAGGTGTTTTTTTTAGCATTACAAAACTTATCAGTCTTTTGTTGCCCTGTCCCAACATTTTTGAAATGTGTTGCTGGCATTAAATTCAAAATGGGCATTTTTTTCAAAAAACAATAACATTTCACAGCTTTAACATTTGATATGTGGTCTTTGTACTATTTTGAATTAAATATAGGGTGTAAATTATTTTCTCATCATTGCACTTTGTTTTCATTTACATTTTGTCTCAACTTTTTTGGAAACAGAGATGTAGCAAAAATGGTCATAATTATTTTTTTCATATTCATTTTCCATTCTGTCCTTATCCCTTACAATTAAACAGGCTCTTTATGTGCCTTTAAGAATTATTTATGTAGCAAGCTCTGTTTTGATTGGATGCCATGTATTGTGCCTCATCCAAAAAGCACTCCTTAGAACTTCAATATAGGCTGAATAATGGAGCTTAGTTTCTATACATAGAAGGTATGGACTGGGTAATGAATCATACGTTTTGAATGTTTAATAATGTGTACATATTACTTCAAACTCCTTTATTTAAAAAATAAAGTGAGGGAGATTCAGTTTTCCATGATATGGGCCCTTTAATGGAAGCATCTGAGAATAGTGCAGAATTAAGAGACAGAGAAAAAAGGAAAGGCGCAGTTGTACTCATTAGAAAAGCTGCACAAATTGTTCTGGGACGAGTTCCACTTTTTTTTAAATGGTTCCCAATGAACTGCAGTAGGAGTGTGCAGGACATGCTCTCACATTTGGGCTGAGGCTCGTGGACATTCGTGATTGTGTTTTTGCATCCATGTGTGTTTGTGTGCAATCTGGAAAGCTTCACAGTTTGTTTTTTCCTTTTTTAATGGCTTCAAGATGCAGGCCAATAAAGCACTCACTGTTTTTCTAGCTGAATTGTAACAGTTTTTACAAGCAGCGGTCGTCACTATCTCTCTATCTACACTAATTAAGGAAACAATAGCCTCCTGTTGAACTCAGAGTTTGTGTCTGAGTGTGTGTGCTCCTTGTTTGTCATTTCTACAAATAACACAGTCACAAGACATAATATAAACACAGAGAATGTAAATTATTATAGATGACCTAAATCGGAACCCAAAACGACTAATAATATAAACACATACAATCCTACTCCCCCCCCATTTCCTTCATTTGAATTAATCTGTGCCTGATCTGAGGTCAGTCTGGGTACGACTGAGTATTTCTGGATTGGGTCTTATGCAGATTGGCCATCAGGGCATAAATACTGATATAAGATCACCTCCTCTTATCCATGAGTCTACAATTGTATGCAAAAGTTTGAGCAACCCACTAAAAATACATTGATTTTTATGAGTGAAAATAAGTACACATCCTCTACAGAGAACACACTTTAATGCACAATTACTGCTTCTTTTCTGAATTTAACATACTGGGGAAAAATATAAAACATCAAATGTGGCCTGTGCAAAAGTTATAGCACATTTTATATTTTCTATAGATTTTCTATATAAGTGCAAATACATTGTCCACTAAAAATAGCAGATTTAACATTTAAAGGATGTTATGTGGAACAACCAAACCAATAAAACATTTAATTTGACCAAAAGTGTTGACTCTATGTATGACATATATGAAGAAACTGATTCTGATTCTGTAAACTGACAAATGACAACTTTGGTCTTCGATCTAAATAAACCAAGATTTTCTCTCAAAACAGGAAGCCGAGTCTTGGTACAGCAAAGTGGTGCGTATTAAAGTCTTACAGGAAGCGGATGAGTTTCCAGCAGTAACTTGCATGTTTATACTTATATAATGTTAAAAATTCACCTAAAATGTAGCTTTCAGTGTCCTAGAATGTGCACCTCCCTTTAGAAAAGCTCCTAAATTGCTTAGTTCTCAATTATTTAGGGTCTTATGACAAAACCTAATATTCGGCTGTACTTTGACTTGTGTTGTGGTTAGCTTACCTGTGTAGATAAACCTGCCAGGCGTGCCTTTGCAGAACTGTTTGGATTTGTATGACAACGTGACCTCCACAACCCCTGGGATGTGTCGAGGAGGGGTCTGAACCCGAATGGCATGAGGCGTGATGAGCTAGAGGGACAAAAAAAGAGAAAGAGAAGTTAGAAAGATATGTACTTATCTGTTTACAGCCAGTAGTAAGTCTGTTTTGCACAATGTTCTTGTTTCATTTCTGTTCCTTACAAGGGAATTCCGTAGATTTTTCAAAACCTCTGCATAATTCAACTGTTGAGATGCAAACAAATGTCATTCAGTGTGGTTTGCAGTGAAATGGTTCATTGTGGAGAAACTTACTGTCTCAGATTTCTTTACAGTGGAAGTGACAGGAACCAGAGATTACATAGTCAACAACTTACACAAATCTTCAAGGTTTTATTTGTAATGTTTATGATATTAAAATAGTGGTAAATCATAGAAAATATGTTTTCTTTGTGCCAAACAACCTCCTGCATGTGCTTCTCTATAAAAGGTGGATGTGAAGAAGTATTTCTGGGTTTTGTTCCATTATTTTAGGGTTTTACATTGTTGGGAGTGGACTTTGCACATACAAGAAACATCAATGCTATATCATGATTAATACCACCTTTACTACACACGTTAACAAAGTGCATTAAAGACCAGCTCTTTACATCCAAAATTGTCATATATGGATAAACAGCATTCTGTAACTAAACTCTTAATATATATTTTAGAGCAAAACCTTTTAGTGAAACTAACATAAAACTATTTATCAGGGAGCAAATCTGTAAGCATTTCATATAATAACTTTCTCTGAGGGAGCTCTTAGAGGCACTGAACGCTTCAGATGTCTGATTCCTGTCACAACCGCGGTGAACAATTCTGACTCACTGCATTTCTCAAGATTGGAGCAATTCACATCTAGCCCCTCTAACTGACTGTTGAGATCTAAGCGATTTAATTATGCAGAAATATTTTTTGAAAATGGTGGAATTCCCCCTTAAGTCATTAGCTCTCTCTCATTTCAACATTTTATTGTCTCATCACAATATTGTCTTGAAACCAGAGAGCTCTTTTTAAGACAATTTAGAACAGTGCGCCATATTGACATTAAGTAGTTCCAATTCCAATAGTGGCTACTTTAGATCACACAGGCAAGGAATGCTATTGCTGGCCATGTGCCAAAGCTACCAGTAAACCTGAACAACAGTAGAAAAAAATATGACTGAACTGTGTGTGGTGTGTACTATGTGTTTGTATGTCTGGTTGATCAGTATCAGAGGTTTGATGGTGGGTGGTGTTGGTGCATTGGGGTCTGTATGCCTCCAGAGAGACTTTTAGACTAATTAGAAACATATTGCAGATTTAAACCTCAGATGATAGACACTACACTGTAGCATTCTTTTAGTCAAGCTGTCAAGCACTGATTCCTTAATCATGACCCTCACTGATCGCTAAGGCCTTTGCAGTTACCGGATGCCAACCCAGCTGAACATCTATTAGGGATTTTAAACTAATGTATTAGCGCTTTCGATCATCAAATGGCAACAAAGGGAATATCTTCTGGAAGAATGGTCTCCACCGCTCCAGTACAGTTCCAGAGACTAGAATCTACAAAATTTTATCCACCACAGTCAAAATGTTTTCTTGATTTTCAGAGTGAAAATAAGTTAATACATTCTTACAGCTTCCTACTGTTTTTTTTTAGTATAGAAACTTGCACAGGACTACCTCACACAACTATATTACTCATTGTTGCAAAAAAGCTTGTAATGTTCAAATTACATGTTCTGCTGATTTTCTGAGTGAAAATAAGTTAACACACACCTTGCACATTTTAATGCACGATTACTGTTTATCTGCTGAATTGAACATACTAGGAAAAAAACTAAACATAAAAAGTGGCCTATGCAAAAGTTACTGCACATTTTCTATTTTATGTTTTATTATTTTGCAATATGTTTAACTCAGTTAATAAACATTGTGCAATAAAATTTGCAGAAAAAATGGCATATGCAAGTTTGTTTCCTGTAGAGCGAAGGAGTATTTAAACTTTTGCACACGACTGTATGTAGTATGGTCATTGCTCTCTCTCTCTCTTTCTCTCTCTCTCTCTCTCTCTCTCTCTCTCTCTCACAATTATTGCTCAGTCACATTTTCCAGTCCCTAAACTTGACCTTCAGCTGGAAGTCTCAGTATGTGACCTTTGAAATAAACCTTAACATAAATACAGCTTAAACAGACTAGCATGTCACTAAGCTACACGTACACATACTCCCCCAGGCCTAATCAGGGCTATTGCTGACCTCCCCCAGCTGACTAATGTGTCTAACTGCCTCTATAAGCTATGACAAAACTAATAGCAAGGAATATCTATTTAAATTTGACTTACAGGGGAATTGCACCTATTTTTTTATATTTTACTACATAATTAAATTATTAAGATGTCCATAAAGTCTTTCAGAGTGGTTTGATGTGAAATGTTTAATTGTAGAAAAATATACTGACTTTTTTTTAACAGAGGTGGTGATAGGAACAATGCAAATATATGCAAATTTCATCTCATTTCATTTCATCATCAGTGACACTACACATGTCGTCTGAGTTTCTGAGTGTAATGTTTATGAATAGTCGTAAATCTGAAAAAACAAAAAAACACTAAACAAAAACAAAGAAAAAGTTTTCTTTGGACAGTATTCTGCCTTAAATTACCCTGCATGAACCTCTCTGACATAAATGTATTGAACAAAAAAAAAAGTTTTAGGTCAAAATCTTTTCTAAATCTTTTCAAAACATGTAATAACTTTCTGTGAGGGAGCTTTTAGAGGCTGTTTTGAACTTTAAACACTGTGAACAATTCTGACCCTGCAAATTTCTCTAAAACAGAGTACTTCATAATCAAACCTGAATGACTGTTTACATCTTATCCATTTAATTATACATAAAATGTGAAAAATGAGTGGAATTCCCCTTTAAGACTGATATTGGGTAAGCAAAGCAAAAATATGACAAGCACATGCAGAGCTGTCTCGCTGTCATTAGCCTGTATCTGTGGTAACCAGATCCATAGCTGATGGGTAGAGTGGCTAAGACGGAGCAGGAGGCTTTGTGTGGGCCCCCTCGTTTCGGGACTAAGGGGTTAGGGGAGAGAGGTCAAAAGGTTATAACGTCCACAGGAACAGCTAGAGGGGGAGGGAGGCAAGTCATTGCATTAAATGTATCCCAGATGTATGCTGTCATAACTAGTGCACACACACGCACACACTTGGTTTGCAGACACCCTGTGTTGTCAAGAATGTGCTCATTTCTCCAGTATTTAACTGCCTCTTATCCTGAGAATATCAAAAGGACTTACTGAATAAATAGGGACAAATTTGTGTCTGTGGCGATGGCTATGAAAAGAGCATCACTTTGTGAGGAACTCCTTCTAACTCCTCCTTTGTAGCAAAAACTACAAAGCAGTTATATATAAGACATTAGTATGTGCGTATATGTGAACGCACATTTGCTTGAAGCATAAGCTGCCACCAGCACATTAGATGCCTTTAAATGGTCTGTTAGTGAGCAGTTAGCCAGTTTTTCAAATGCAGCCCACTTGCCTACATAAAGACATGTCACGTCAAATGAAAGGCTTTTTATGGTATTACACTATCTAACGGCTCAAGCACGATGAATTTATCACCTGCATAATATTAGCATCACGTGTAATGTATTTTACTGGAGGCAAAATGGCCTAGGCTGACAGAGAAGCGAAGCAGATGAAGGAAATGCAGTTTTAAAATAATCTTTAATGATGTGAGATGGCTTTTATTTAATAGACCATTTGGCTAGATGGCACTACTTACTCTGCTAACGCATACATTGCTTAGAACTGAGTATCTGTCTTTTTGCCACATTAGGAATGTAAATGAAGTGGAATTCTACTTATTTGGGTGAATTACTAAAATGACAGAAATGAAATCCATCATAAGATATTGAACTCTATCATTTAATACTGATTTTGAAAAGAGCAGTGTAATAGTTTAACTCACTATACACATTTTATTAGAAACTGACCAATGATAAATGAGACAGAGGGTGACTGACAAATGTGCATGTCAACTGATGGTCTAGAGTACTGATTGGATCTATAAGAGACCTTTAGGTGTGTCTAATAAAGTGCACAGTGAATACAAGTAGAATGTAGGTGTTTCCAATGCATTGACCAGTGAGGGGAAATAGGACAAAGGTGTTTCTAATAAAGTGGCCAGTAAGTAGAAGTAGAAGGTAGGTGTTTCCAGTGAATGGATGTAGAAGGTAAATGTATCTAATAAAGTGGCCAATGAATGGAAGTCAGTGAAAGAACAAGGCAGGTGTTTCTAATAAAGTGCTGAGTGACTGAAAGTACAAGGTAGGTGTTCCTAATAAAGTGGTCAGTGAGTGGATGTAGCAGGTTGGTGTTCCTAACAAAATGGCCAGTGGCTGGATGTGGAAGGAAAGTGTTTCTAATAAAGTGGACAGCCAGTGGAAGAATAAGGTAGGTGTTTCCAATAAAATGGATGGTGAGTGTACCTGTGAAGGCAAAAGCAGTTTAACTTCTGAGGCATGCTAACACAGCTTGGGTGTATTTATGGCTTTATGTCTTAACCTAGTTCAAAACATCTCTCTTGTAGACTCTGGATTATCTGGAGTTCCACTCACCTCACTCCAGACCAGCATGGTGCCAAAGATGACCTGCAGCCCATCGAAGAAGTTGTCCCCAATGATTATCACTGTAGCGCCCCCTGTTGTCCACCCTTCGCTGGGGCTGATGGCTTTGATGCAAGGTGCTGCTGCTTTCCGGTAGTATCGGTACATGAGGAACAAGAGGGTGGGTGTGGATGAAGGGGAGACAAAACAGAGAAAGAGATATATGTGTGCTTTATTACTTACGCTTCATCTTCAAGAATGCTAGCATTCAAAAATCTCATAACCCATTAATTTGCACTTTTTTTTACACCATTTGTGAATATTTTATGAAAAAATGAACAAACAGAAATGCCCCTCCCCCCTCAAAAAAAAAAATCCAGGAATAAAATCCTGTTACACTGACATACAATAAAATTAAGAATGTTCTTCGTTCTTTCCTTCTCCCATAATGTTATCATTTTGGAGACACAAGACAGTTTCTAAATGGTTCATGTCTAAGAAGTACTTAGTTTCTGGTGTAGTACCTTTACATATGGTGGTTCTTCAAACTTTAAAAAGGTTCGCCCTTACAACAAAAACGGTCCCACTGAAAGGTTCTTTAAAAGTGGTTCTACTGTTGCTTCAAACAAATCTTTTTGGTTCTTCATTTTAAAAAGTTTATGTAGAAATATACTAAGCAATAATTCCATCTTTTGGACCGATCAATAACACTACCAAATGTAGATTATAAATTCATATCTCCAGAGAAGGTAGACGTCTGGTTCGTGGGGATCCAGTGAGGGGGTTTTAACCTTCGTTTCCCAGGGGGCCTCAGGGTTAGAGGTGAGGTTCTAATGCAGTTTATTTCATGAGGTTTTGGTGGAGGGAGGAGAGGGGCTTGAGGGAGGTCGAGTGACTTGACACCTCAGCGTTCTCCCGTTTCCAAACCAGAGCAGGAAACCAAAAACACACCAACGTCACCAAAAAAACTCACACAGCTGGATTTAACTAGGAGTCCCACACCACGTGGCCTGGAAAGAGCACTAGTGGTTTTCACAGCTCTCACAGTGCACGTCAGCCATGAAAATAAAGGATCATTTACAGTAAGATTTGCGTTCAACACCGTGTCATGGATTTTCAGTAACAACAGTGGTGACTCATTATAGATCAATGTACTTTACTAGGCCTATCTACGATTAACAATTTAATATGGATGTAGTATGTTATGATTAGAGAGGGGCTAAATGTTCATCCATCCAAGACACTGAGCTAAAACAATTCAAAGAGGTACTGGAGATGTAATATTTACTGAAGCTAAAATACACTCCAGCTTAAATGAGCCCTGCAAATGTGTTTGTTTGGCAAAACACTAAAAAGTTTACAAAAGTATGGACAAATCCAGGTTTCAGGATCATGATGACTACTCTCTTCAGTGTGTAATATAGTTTCAGAAACCGCATAAGTAAGTAAGTCTACTTGAGATTACTTAAAGGACCATATCATGAAAATTTTAATTTCCTCACTTTTTTCAAAGAGCTTGACATAATATGTAAACATTGTTAAAGTTTCAAAATGTTTCATTTACTCTCCAGACTATATAGTGCATATGTGGAAACTAAGTAGCAAAAACAAATTTACTGTTTCTGTGATGTGATAAAAACCAGCACATTTGCATATATTTGCCTATTAAGTCTAGAACACGCTCACCCAAACAACACTTGCTGAAATTCAAAGGCCTATTTCAGCCTGGAACGCTTTCTGAATGAGTCACAATAAAGGGAAGCCAATCAGAACAGAGTTATTTATATGTTTTAGTCGTACAGGCCCAGTAACAAAAACAGCCTGTTAAATTCTAAGGGATAAAGAGAGACTGGAAAATTAAATATGGCTGATTTTGGTACATAAACCACACAATCAGAAATGGACCTGGGGAAATATTAAAGACAAAAAAACGTAGGACACTGGCCCTGTAACAACTCCAAGATAACTTTACATGCAGTTTGCACAATGTGAATTTAGTGAGGTACAAACTTCTTTTCCTTGCTAGCTCTAGTGCAAAACTAAAGAAGCAAGCATGCTTTGGCTGATCGATTAAGGAGTAAGGAGGAAATGTGCTTATAAGCCAGCATATTGCTTTAACCACTTTTGACCACTACTATAGCATGCTACAATACAGCTTACTACTATAGTTTATTATACTACAGCATAAATCTGATCTCCTAGCTGATCTCCCGTAGAGCCTAAACATATCCTCCTGGCTTTGATTTTTATGCATGTAATGGACATAAACACAGAGGTAAAACTGTGTGACCACTGGTGCTGTAAGTAAGGTGACCCTGGACCTCATACTGCAGGCGACAAGTGTTTTTGTCACTGGGTGCTGGTGTACAGCAGCTCGTTTAGCGCGTCCCCTTTGTTGCTCTCCGCAGTGCTGGCGGATCGGTGACGGCGCGGGGGGAGGAGGGAACACCGTGGAGAAAGGTCAGCCCGCTTATTAGAGCTGTCCGCTCCCCTCCGAGCGAGAGAGGCCCGTGCTGGCAGGGGGCAAAGAAAGCAATTTAGCCCACTGCTATTTACCTCCGTTTAGTTTCCCCAACAGCACCGTTCACCATAATGAGCTACAAAGCGAGAGAGTGAACTGATGCAACAGCCAGGGTTCGCTCCACACTGTAATGCAAGAGCTGCGAATTGTTTTTATAACCTTGCAAGAAGGAGGATGAAGAAGGCCAGAGCTTGGGGGGAGTTCTGCACAGTGCTGTGGTGGGGTCTGGATAGGCGGCTCTAAAGTATTCCCATTCCAACATATGGACACACTCTATTTCCCCATATACTCTGTAATTAAAGAATATAAAGCTGGTCTAAAAGTCAATATCAACAAGCCAATGTAACTTTATAGCATCTAGTGCATTCATTTAAGGCAAGAGACACAAAGGAGCTTAATGCTGATGTGCTGCACTGTAAACTTGGCTTTACTAGTTATGATATTATGCTATCACACTTAGGTTTATGTTTTTCATCAATTCAAATGATGTGCTTTCTTAATTTGCACATGACTGGCATAGATTAGTTCATTGATAGCTAGTCATCAAGTTTTAGCAGCAACTGTAAAGGAAAAAAAGAAACTAGCAAAAAAAAAGCACAACACATAATGGAGCATTTATTAGGACTTGTTACTGAATGAATATGTATGAATTAACTGCTGTTTGTGGGCATGCCAAAATCAAGCAAACAATACAGGAATCAGTGTAGGAGGGCATTACATTGCTCTTGTAATGTTCTTATTAAGCCTATCAAGCCGGTATTGGTAATTAACAAGCTGCTCACTATTACTTTAAGTGCTTTGTCAAGACAATATGATGATACGCAATCAAAAACAGAGGTCTTTAGTTCCTTGAATCCAGTTTGTGGTCCAGGATTTTGTAACTGCTGAAAAATGATGACACGAAGTGGCCAATCAGTTACATCAGCAACATTAACTAGCAGTGATTACAAAATCTGGACTGGAGACTGGATTGAAGGTCCGGATTTGACACCTCTATTCCAACAGGTTAGGTACTAAACACAGGCAGAAGTTAACACCTTCTTAATACACGCAAACTAGAAATCTTCACTTTAAAATAGAGGGTGAGCTCTTTATTTAGAAATATCTGGTATTATTATTGAGATACTGGTGGAATCAAAAGAAAATAAGCAAATATATAAGCATATCATAGATCCAATGCTTAGGCAAGGCTTAGCAACAAGATTATGATGTATAACACAAATTAAGTTCTCAACACTGCTTAACTTTAGTTACTACTTAATAAAGAAGTGATGAGCAGCCAATTAATCAGCAGCTGTTAGCTAGATAAGGCTTAATAAGAATATTAAAAAGGCATTACAATGTCCTATATACTGAAGTGTTACCAAAGTAAATACAGATACAGATATCTTTTGTGATTTTGCTTGTTCTTGCTCTCCTCAGAGGTAGATATACACTGTGTACTTGCATATATGCACCACTACACCAGTGGTTTTAGAGAGGCAGGAACAGTACTACACAGCTATGAAAAGCAGACTCCCCCTTTCCTGACACTTGATCCCTTCAGTCAGAATGTAACCTTGCAATAAATACTACAATATGTGTAGCAATTGCAGGCATTTGATTGACAAAGTATACAACCGTGAGAATTATCAATCTCTGTCAAAGTGTGAACATCTTGAGAAACCAAGAAAGCCACAAAGGAAGCCAGTGTTTACATCTGTTCAGGTATCAAGCTTCAGACTTTGCACAATGATAACAGGAAAAGCTTGCATTATGTGTTATGCACGTTAGCCTTGTAGCAACCTTAAGATACCAAAGCTGATTGACTATGGTTAGGGAAAGAGAAAAACACATTTTTCGCCAGACTATTGTTTTAACCATTTGGGACCACTACTACATAGCATATCCAAAAAGGTCAGGGCTGGAACATTTTCAATCAGTGTAAAATTTGAAGGAATCTCAACAGCAATTGCATTTCGTCTTGCAAAGCTGTAATCTGGCATCTGTATTTATGTTTTTCATCCTCATTTTTAATTTCAATAACCAGGTCCAGCATGTAAGCAGCTTTAGATTACTGAAAAGAGCAAGTTCTTATATATTCCTGTAAACACATGCTAATCTGCTTTATTTACATGTCAGACACTGGGATGCACATGCATACACACATACACGTACACACACTAGAATAATGCAGTTTGGAAGTGGTGGAGTAGGGTAGATGAGGTGCAATCTGTGGCGCTAATCTTGGCCTAAGTGGACTGTTTGGCAGAGGCTGAGCTGGTGGCTGGATTAAGCAGATGGAGAAGCATGAATCCATCTGATAGGATTAAACTTTCTGTGGCTCTCTCTGCACCATCTGCTCACCATGCTGCTCCCAGTGACACACACACACACACACACACACACACACACACACATACAAAAGCAGTGAAAACTCACAGACCCACATGCACACATAAAGGAAAACACAAGGCAATGAAGACAGTAACTAAACATTGTGACTTGTTGAAAGTCACACTATTCAACAAAATGCAACGTAGAAAGACAAAAAATACAAATACATCATGCTTATATGTGCTATCCAGTACTGTGCAAATGTCAGAGACCACTTTTCATTTCTAGTCAAAACAGTCATTATGTACA